GAGGTGGTTCTGCCACGAGGCTAGCGAGGAAGGGGGAGAAAGCTGTAGAGCGATGTTCACTGGGGAGCGCAGTGGGGGGCTGCGGTAGAGCTGCAGGTGGTAATGGGGCCCGAGGTGAGTGTGGTGTGGGCAGGGCCCTGGGGGATGCATGGGTGCGCGTGGAGCGGTCAGGGAGCGGGCTTGTTGCGCTTGCTGTGGAGCAGACAGATCTGGGCGCGTAGAGAGCGGGTGCGTGTGTAGGCCTGATCTGGGCAGTGGGTCATCCCCAACATGCCTGTCTGTCTTTAGCAAACGTAGCAGTGTGCTGCATAGTGTTTCAATAGAGATAGCATGTTGATATACTGATATACATAAAGGAGCATGTGAGGGCATGTCTACTTAAAATGGACTGGCGTTGGATAGTATGCATGTTGGCTTTTCTGCTGATACTTCACTCTTAAGCTGCGTTGCTACAGGAGAGCCCTTGCTGCAACTGTTTGTACGATTAAAAGTAAACAAGCAGAACAGCTTAAAGTGATCCTACATTGCGGAGTAACACATTAGAATACTCTCAAATTATATATAATTATCTAAAAGTGGTGACACCCAGGAGAAAAGACTCTTTAAAAAGTAATTAACTTTCCTCTTCTTCCTGAGATTGGGAAAATAAGCCTTGCTGGTCTTGTGTGCCTTCAGGCGTATAATATTATGAACACAGGCAGACTAGCAAGACATCAGAGACAAACACAGATGGTGTTTATTTTAGTCTAATTTTTAAATGCTCAGTTTTCATCCGCTTTTTTCCAGATGTTTGGCCTTTACAAAGGCAAAGATGAAGAGAGACTTAATATTTTTCTTCTTTGTGAATAGTGTAGAAATGTCAGAAATACCTACCTAGTTCCAGGAAATTTGAGCTTGAGAGTGTAGTGAATCTGGAACTATATCGTAGTTAACCTTTTCCACTGCTGAGTTCTGTTGTCTGAACTTTTAGTAACTCTCCAATGATACTTGGTTATTTTTAGTGGTGACATAGTGCACACAATGGAAGAACCTTGTCAGGAGGTAGTCAAACTCTGATCAAGGGAGATATAAGCCCTCTAGTGGCATGAATTCCAGTGTGTTTGAGCAATATTTATGTTTCCTGGGAACCAAGAGAGAAGCAGATACGTGTGGGGTTTTTTTTCATTTTTCTTTGGCTTAAGCTCAAAACTTAAGTGTGGTTTTGTTCTTTTTTTTTTTTAAAAAAAGAAGGCCCCTATTCAATAAGAATGTTCCACGTAACTATCTCTTTGGGTTCAAACTTTTTACTACAGTCCTTAGTACTCAGAAATGCCCATGCAGGCAATTCTTTCACTAAATGTTTTGCACTTTCCTGTTGTAGGAACTGTCTCTGTCAATTTATATCTTGACATATTATTAGCTTTAGAAATACTGTGCTTGTTCTCTAAATGTGACTTTGGTTTATTTCCTAGAATGGTGAGAACTTCTGCATTCTGGATGAGCAGAGGTTTGCTAAGGAGCTACTTCCCAAATACTTCAAACACAACAATATCTCCAGCTTCATACGCCAGCTTAATATGTGTAAGCATCAATTGTTTTCATGTATTCTTTTTGCCAAGTTCGTTGCTGCTTAGCATCAATTTGTATTTCTTTAATCAAAGCAATTTGCTTGGCAGATCTTTCATCCCTGAAAACCTGAATTCTGGTCCTGAGCTTACTTTGCAAAAGAAAATAACAGCAGAACTTGGCTTAGTCTTTGTTTTCAGTATTTCAGCTCTGAGTCTTTTTGAGCAATCACAATAAAATATTGTTTCATGTGTTGGTACGTAAAGCTTAGGTAGTTCAGTGGGCTCCAGTGGTGGTGTTAACGGTAATGAGAAATTAATAGCAAATTTGTGCATGTTTGGAAGAACAAAGGCCATATCTACACCCATGCATCTAGTATATGGAAAAAAAGTACCTAGATCATGCTGTTGCACGCGTTGCTGTGTTGAAACAAGCTTAGTCATACTGATGGATAGAGCTGGACCAAGTTTTTCATTTGTTTTCTGTGCTCTACTTCTGAGCATGATGTAGTATTTGTTATATAATACTGAAAATGTACAACTTGCACAGGCAAATAAACTGGAGTGAGATGGTAATTCAAAGACACAGTACAACATGCAGGACTGCAACACACAGCAGAAATAATTGCTTTGCCGTAGATATTTTGTGGGCCAAGTGAAGGTGAAAACTGCATAGAAAATGGTTATCTTATTTAGAACGTCCATTTGAGGTGAGAGGGATTAAGTGACTAAGCAAGTCCTTTTCAGGAAAGGAAAGGATCTGAAAGATGCTCTAGGTCTGAACTATAACTCTTAGGGAGCTAAGTTGGATATTTCACCAACCAACTAGCTGTATATATTCTGTATGTCTTTACTCTATTCAGTACAAATAAAATCTCTTACCTTTTTTCAAAATTCCTCCTGTTTCATTAGGCTAGAAATGTGTTTCAATTATGTTTATGCTCCTCCTTGAAAGGAAAGAAGGGTACAATTTGTCATAAAGCTTTGCTAAAGTAAGTTAATTTACAGCAGTGGATACTATGGCTTAGTTGCAGGGAATTGTTGAGAAGAGGTGGAGATCCTTGGCCAAGTGAATTTGTCTAGTCTCTCTAGCTCATGCCTGTTTAGATTCCATCTCAGACACAAAGAAGTGATTGTTTAGACTCTTAGCCTAGGGGGGATGCTATTGTTTGTGTCAAGTGTTGAGATTCCAGTGCCTGAATGTCAATGGATAATATAAAAAAGCAATTGTCTTATAGCAAGATTAAAAGCTAAAATCCAAATATTCCTGTAAAGATGTGCAGTACCATGGAAGACTTCTTTTCCTGCTTGGTCTATCCTAGGTTTGAATAAAGTTGTCTAATGATAGTGATGCCAAGATGCAGTGAAACTGGAATACATTAACTATGTTAAAAACTTCAATGAGGAGAGATATGGCTTGCTTTGTCAACTGTATTTTGCATCTACCCTGTGGTATTTAGAGCAGTGGTGGAAACAGAGCTTGCAATGTCTTATTTCATGCAGGCAGTCTGAGTGGTATGGAAAGAGGATTGTGTGTGTATATGTTTGCATAGGCTGAGATATAATTCTCTTCCTTAAATTGTTCTGTAGACCCTGGTGGTACATAACGTTCATTTTGTTGTATAGCTGCTTGGGATTATAGGCATGAAAAGGAAGATGCAAAGTTCCACTCCTTCCATCGGGACAAGGTTTTATTCCAGATGTCCTAATAAATCTCCCTTCTGACTAACTTCTGTGATTGTTTGGACATTGCTCTCTTGCCTTAGAATAGTAGTAATAAGCCTTTGCCGTGCATGCTGTTCGTACAGCCTTTGCTTTCATTCTCTGCAAGATCATTTGGCAAAACTGTAGATATATTTCCCGGCTGTGAAAATCAGAGCAGCTGAAATGTTTGAGCACCAAAGAAAAACTTTTTCATAGTTCCTATTCCCAGTAACTATTACTGCAGGTATTTCAGTACCTTCTGGGTTTTCTTTAGCTGTGTGTTGTAACAGTCAGCTTTATATTGAAAGAAGTGACTTTTTTAAATCCCTCTCCACAGATGGGTTCAGGAAAGTGATTGCTCTGGAAAATGGTATGATTACAGTAGAGAAAAGTTCGGTCATTGAGTTCCAGCACCCTTTCTTCAAGCAAGGGAAGGCACACTTACTGGAAAACATCAAGCGCAAGGTATAATCTTAAGAATGTATTTAATTGGATTTTTTTTTTCTCACAAAAGTAGCTTATGTGGAACAAGTCGGGGGGG